ATTTTGAAAGCATTCGTTTTCATTTTAAGTGTGTACAAACCTTAAGTGATTGAATCAAAATTGAACTAGAATAATGCAGATAATGATAAGTAGCCCTAGTCAACTCTCCCCTAGCGAATCCCAAGGGAGTCCCCACGAAAACTCCACCGGGGAATCACGACAGGGCTTCCTTGGGGATTTGCGAGTGAGTGAAGGGAGTCCCAAAGGATTTGAGAGGGAGTTACGGAAAGTCACTAAGAACTTTTTAGGGAGTTTACAGCGGGTCCCTAGGGATTGACAAGAGGGTGGTTTCGTAATCAAAATGAGTCCTTTTATCTACCTGCCTATCTATCTACCTATCTGTCTATCTGCTTAACTATCTGCCTATCTATCTATCTATTTATCTACCTATCTGTCTATCTGCTTAACTATCTGTCTATCTGCTTAACTATCTGCCTATCTATCTATCTATTTATCTACCTATCTGTCTATCTGCGTAACTATCTGCCTATCTATCTATCTATTTATCTACCTATCTGTCTATCTGCGTAACTATCTGCCTATCTATCTATCTATTTATCTACCTACCTGCCTAACTATCTGTCTACCTATCTACTTACCTACCTATCGATCTGCCTACCTATCTATCCATCTATCCATCTATCTATCTATCGATCGATCTATAAGTAGACAGGTGGGTAGATAGGTAGATGAATATATCCATCTATCTATCTGTCTGTCTAGCTACCTATCTATATACCTATCTATCTATCTATTTACCGGCCTACCTATATGTTTATCTACCTATCTATTTATCTACCTTCATACTTACCTATCTATCTCTCTATCTACCTCTTCTCTTTTTGTACTAGTCGGATGTTTGAAAACCAACTATTTAGGTACATTTGAGCAGATGTACTTTGGCATAAATTTATAATTTTTATTCACTGTATAGAAAAAAATCAACAGAAAAATAACTTCCTGAGGAGTCTTCATGGAGGGACTCCCCAGGGAGTTTTTAATTTTTTCCCACTGCCTAAAACCTAGGGACTCCCTTAAAAATTTCCAAGGTGACTCCCTGGGGAGTTGTTATCTTTCAGGATTCACTAGGGAAAATAAAGGTGATTCCCTGGGGATTCACCACGGAGTTCGCATTTTTGAGAGGAGTCACCGGTGATTTTGCGAGTGAGAGTTGACTAGGGAGACATTATCTATTCTGAAATACATGCATTCATTGTCTGCATCTGGAACAATGAATATTCTAGTTTCTGTCGTTTATATTCATAACTTTTGATTTCAATGATTTCTTTTTCACAGGTTAATAAATTCAGCGATTAGCCCATTATGCTTGGTTCACCCTTCTCTCGAGATAAATATACCCTTGTGTGTCGAGACAGTTTTTAATTATATGGGCGAAATTAAGCAAAATAGGACATACTCCCATTTCATTTGACTTTACTTTTTGATAGAAGAGTTTTTTCTGAATAAGCTCTTTTAGCATAGACATATGTAAAAAAGTTGCCTCTTCCAGATGCTACTTAACTAAAACTAATTAATTAATTAAGAAGTAATTAGTGCATATTTCTCCAACCGTATGAAGGAAAAATCTAAAAATTTCAGATTAGACTATAGAACTCGAGCCACATCTATAATAAAATTTTCATCAAGATTGAACTCCAAAAATTTTCCTCATAAACCAGGCCCTCTAAACGTCCTAACAAGCTCGGAAAAGAAAACTTTTGTCTTATTATCATCTCAAGATCTTGAGGAAGAATTCGTACCATTTTAAATTTGTTTTGAACTTTTCATTCAATTATAAGAGCATTTTTTTATTTGCTATATTCGTACTCAGTCACGTCGGTAACGCTGGCTTTTTAATAATTACTCCTCTCAAATAAGGGCTCTGGGGCCGATTTTTTCAGAGTATCTTAAGTAACACTACCTTCCATATAACATATAAAAATTAGATATTGCGAAGTTCATTATTCCAACATATACCTAGTCGAACATCTTGTAAGTAAGATCTTGGTCAAGATCTTGGGTACAGATAAGTGAACAGATCTTAAAAATTTAGGTACAAGATAGTAGAATTGTCTTGTACCCAAGATCTGTAGTCAGATCTTGAGTACAGATTTGTAAGATCTTAGCTACGAATCCATAAGATCTTGAATGCACTAAGATATAACGTATTGCATGTGTCATGATGGTTCGAACCTATCGCACAGCAAATTTTTATTTTTTCTGTAAAAGCATGTTATAATATTTTTGGAATTTATTTTTATTTTAACTATTTTTTATTCCGAATGATTCAAGCAAGTCATATGCTGGCATCGGACTAGCTTTGAATTGGTCCGATCTCCATCAGACCATTTTAGGGTACTCCTCTCTCGATCATCGATCGAGATCAGCATTTTCTCGAATATTAATAGTCGAGAAATAATTTAGAAAAAAAACTATTTTCAAAATTTATGTCTTGTATATTCAATCATGTTGTTTATATACCGCTATGTAAGCATAAAAAAACGGTGAATGACTAGTCAGCATGTAATAAATACATGAATGATGTCGCTTTTCGTTTTACTCAAGATCTTGTGAAAAGACCATAGCAAACGATATCTTTTTCATGATCTTGCCAAGATCTTAGGTACAGATTTATCTGATACAATCAGAATATGTACATACAAATTATCTTTTCAAGATCTTAATAAGATCTTGCTTACCCATCCCAAGATTTCAAGATCTTGCTTACAAGATGTTCGACTAGGGTAGGCGTTGCAATTTTATGATTATGATAATGATTATTAATACTGATCTCGGCGTAGATAAATGATACTAAAAAAATTCCATTTACATTTGTTCATGAGTAATAATTTAATGGAGAATGGCTTTCGTATCTAACATTTTAAAGCGTAACCTTTCCACAGATAATTTATTATTCCAGTCATCAAAATATCTCTAAAATCAAGACAATGATATAAGAGAATGAATTTTTTAAGACAATACTTTTTCTAAAATCGTTTCTTGTATTGGACACTGCCTTAGCGAGTTGCTCTTGTTTTAGATGCATAGCGTAGGAATTGAAAAAATTCTTTTAAACACAACGAACATCAAATTCTTAAAACCTATTTTATGGAGTCAACTTGAATCAATGCTTGATAATCATGTATATGTATTTGAAGTGAATATTCTATTGGCTTTAAATATATGTCATCATGCACAACTAATATATAATCAAAATGTGTATGAAGCTATTACTTTTCACTCATATTGCTATCTATTTTCTACAACTGGTTCTTATAATCATTCAATTTATAACAGATTGGACACAAGTTGAAGAGCTATTTACAGAGAGTTGTAGTGTATTTTATATCAATGTTTATATTGCAGTGTGTAACACAAGTTTTGAATTTGCACTGCCTATTTTTCTAACTATGTTAGTGTTCATCATGTTCGTTTAGCATCAGCTTTACGAAAGATGCAGCATCATATTTCAGCTAGTAAAAATTATCATTGTATACATTAGTCATTCAATATCTTTGTTTTTATCTCATTTGAATCACACTTTGGTCACCCAATGTTATAATTAATCAAGCGTCTATTACTGATGTGAATGTACTCAATAAAGCTGTGCTACTCAAGTTTCTGAAATGAATATCTATCATTTACCCCGAATCGGTTACCATAAATCAATCCCCCAAAAACAAATCCCTATTTGAGGATTTTTTCGACATGAAATATATCATACATTCTATAGTTCAATATCATTCTTTTCCTTATTTCAGACCGTATGAATAAAAATATAACTTTAAAGTCATATCTGTTGGACGTATTTAGTTCGGATTCATTAAACATAATAAACACAGTTTTATGGTGAATCTGGTGACCAGAATGTGTTTTGGGTTACTACAAAAACAACTTTGAGGTAAATATGTTGACGAGAATGCATTTTGGATTGCCAAAAAGAAAACTCTGTAGTATCCCAAAACACATTCTGGTCACCAGATTGATCGTAAAACTGTGTTTATTATGTTTAATGAATCCAAACTAAATATCTTCAACAGATATGACTTCAAAAGTTTTATTTTTATTAATGTGATCTGGAATGAGAAAAAGAATGGCATTGAACTATAGAATGTATGATATATTTCATGTCAAAAAATCCCAAAATAACGATTTTTTCGGAATTGATTGGTGACAACCAATTTATGACAAACGATAACCTACCTCTGAAATGGCGTTGGATCCAATAATTATTACAGTATTAGATGTTCGTTTTTGGCATGAATGAAGAAAGATCTGGATTCATATGAAAAACACTGTATTCTTCAATCGACTCATTCGAAGGCAAATTCAACCTTCAACGAATCTAAATGCAATAACATTTAAAAATTCCACAATTGAAAACAACTGTTTTTAAAACATGAAAAAAAACTTTAAAACTATATTGTCTCTGTAGAAACCTATTGTGTATGTCAGACGAAATAATATTCGTAGAAAAGGCGTGGGTGTGGATGTTGGTGTAGGTGTGTGGGTCTTGGTCTGGGTGGGTGTGTGTGTGTGTGTGTGATTGTTGTCTTTCCTTTATCCACATCGATACCCACATCTACACCCACACCCTCACCCTCACCCACACCCCATCCACACCCACACTCACACCCACACCCACACCCCACCTACACCCATACCCCACACTCACATCCACACCCCACCTACACCCATACCCCACACTCACACTCACACCCTATTTCTATCAGAAATCTACAAAATATTTCTCGAGCTTCGTACTCTTCTGAGTACATCGTCAGGAGTGAATGTGCAAGTTGAAACAAAGCATTTTATATCGAACAAGAAGAAAAAGAACAGAAAAATGGGTGTAGCTGTGAGTTTGGGTGTGTGTGTGTGGCTGTTTTGATTTGCAATATGTCTCTACCGGCAAAACACGAACACGCGCAGCTCCACTCCCACCCCACATGCCACTTCCACACACCCATTCGAAAGAAAAAGAATGCAAAGAAACTTCTCTAAGAAGTAACATAATAAAAAAAATTGGATGTTTTGCATGGGATTGTTGCAGGTTTCTTTTTATCATTAGTCAATATGGTCATAAAGGCAGCTGTCTTATCAATTCTTGAATGGTTACTATCTACAGCATAGTTTCTTGTCCATTCTCTCGCTGTCTTGTTGTATATCTCCGGATTCGTTCGATATAGATGTAGTGCGTCTTTATTGAGTCCATGTTCTGGATTGGGGTCTGTCAACAGTGAAGATAACGATATTAAAAGACCACGTATTGTTAATGCTGGAGACCATTGTGAGTGAAGAATATCTAAACAAATCTCACCATCGACACTGATATTGGGATGAAAAACTGGTGTAATAAAACGAATCTCGGGTGGTTTGAAGGGAAACTCTGCAGAAAAATGGATAGTAAGATGAAATTTTCCACCAGCATATGGCGTATTTTCTGGTCCTTCTATATAACCTATCCAATCAGCCATGCTCTTGCTAGGGTCTTTAGGTTCCGCATAGCATAGTGGAGGTGGATTTTTTTGTATTTCACGAAAATGAATTACAAGACGTTGAGTATAAGCCATGATCACGAGTAAACAATGATCTGAAACAAAAGCACATATTAAACTCGTTCTTCTAAAAAAAAAAGATGGGGGTGTGAGTAAGAATACTATCTGCAAAATGCAGAAAAAAAGAAAACTGTACTCATTTGCATCTTTTCCACTTGGTTTATTTTTTTACAAATTATTCTTATGGCAAACCTGTACTTTGCTTTGTAACAGACAGTACGGATGGATGTTTGAGAGCGATATCTTTAACTATACTTTCATACCATTAAGATCATTTTCATTTTTACTTTGCTGCAAATTAACGAAACACCATTCATGGAGAATTTCAATCCTGATAATAGGAAGAATATACTCAGTTACACGAATTCATCAATACTATAATGTTGCACACTATGTTGAAAGGAACGTATTTCTTCTTCAGCAACTGTCGAAAACATGATCAGCACCATTGATGTATGTTTTATTTTATGAAATAACTTACATGACCATTAATTTCAATAAGAATTTCCAAAGAAAATTGGAAGAAAACTTATACTGCGAATGACAACGACTGGTTTTTTGAATGTACACCGAAGGTAATCATGAGTAATACCTTTTTTGAGTTATTAAATGAAAACTGCTAAATTTACTTTTCCCGTGCAATGACGCATATATTTCTATTACTCAGGAAAAATTCAATGGCGTGAATTTTTACTCTCCACAAACAATAATAGTCGACACATGCATTCTACATCGTCATATATATTTATGTTTGGTTGATGAAGCAACAAGTTGGAAAGACGAGAGAAAGAATAAAACATTACTCATGGGTGGGTGGGTGTGGGTGTGGGTGTGGGTGTGGGTGTGGGTGTGGGTGTGGGTGGGGTGGGTGTGGGTGTGGGTGTGGGTGTGGACAGTGTTTGCCGCCACACCCACGCCACACGCCCAGCACCGCACGCCCCCACAGCC